AAGATAGATACTTTGACAAGTTCGAAATACTGTTGACACAAATGGCGGCTGTTCAAAACACGCATGTGCATAAATATACCACGCATGCGTATACTGTCGCAATAACGGACAAAACCATTACACACGATGTGACATGTAGTGAGACGTCGCCCGCGACGTCGCCCGCTATTTTTGTCGCCATAAATAAGAAAAAATATGCTATAAAGCGACGTCGCGCAAGACGTAGCGTTTTTTAATGCGACGTCGCCCACGACGTCGTTCTTTTTTTACGCGCCACGCGATGGCAATTATAGGACACCATACTCTGGCGATCAATGATTGGAAGGAGGTGTGAGCGTAGGATTTCGTCACAGTACCGTTGAGCTGTCAGGTTGCCCTGGATCATCACCAAATCACTTCTCCTACCGCAGGTGATCTCTCCCCACATCATAACATTGCCCCGGCCGAATCTGTCCACCTGGGGAACGCAAGCGTCGGCGAAACGTTCACGTCGACGTCTGTACACCCGCATTCCTCCATCGCGTCGTTCCAATAGAAATCGTGATTCATGACTGAAGCAGATTCTACGCCACTTCGGTAGGTTCCAGGCCTGAACGTTGGTGCACCATTGAACTCGATGTCGACGATGTTGTTGTCGAAGCACAGGGCCAAAATAAGGTCTTCTGGCACGTAAACCAGCCTCTCTCAACCTGTTCCTGACGGTCTGTGCAGAAAGCCTCCTCAATCCGGGTATTTGTCGAGCGGTACTGGTCGCCGTAGCTGTTCGATGACGCAGGTGATGTACCCGGATGTAGCGATCCTGCGCCGCAGTGGTCGCTCGAGGTCGCCCACTACGAGGGGCATCTGCTACCGAATTCTGCCGGCGATATCTCACAGAGCCTTGAAATGGTGCTTTGGTGAACATTCATGCGTCGGGCAACTGCACGTTGAGACTGGCCAGCTTCAAGCAAACCAATGGCGATATGACGGTTGGCTTCACTTAGACGTGGCATTTTGCGTTCGTCAACAATATTCCAAATACAGAGAATAATCGACAGACAGCGATCAACCTTATATACCCATCATTGAGACTATCTGATCCCCAACTTTCACGTGCATTGCATGTGAATTGTGTATTCTGTGACACTACACGCCGAAATTGAAAATCATGCTGTTAAATACGGGTATTTTACGGATGGTGCGTTATGTTGTGATGTTTCAAAACATAAACACCATAGGACTCATAAACAGAGCAAAACCTTTTGTAAAATGAATCACGTTGTAATTCATTGCTACATGAAATTGCTATTTTCATGATGCGTTTCTATTTTTGGGAGAGTATAGTACATGTTATTGCTGAGCCACTTGACCACAAGAGACACACATAGGTGGTCCATCTCTATCCATTTTCAGCAGATAGTCACGAGTAAACCGACTGTGGCCAATGTGACGTCATCGTAAAATTACCTCATCTCGTCTTGACTGACAACCCAAGTACCTATAACCAATTGCTGGTTTCAATTCATGAAGTTTATTTCTTCCTACTTGGGCGTCCCACCTTTTACGCATAAGGTCCCGAGTATAACTTTATACGGGATCAGCAGTGGAAATAGCGGCTTGTCAAGAGCTGCAGTGTTACTTGCCAGTAGAAAGAGCGTTGTAAAGTTCTAAAATGTCCAGGATGCTAGGGTGACTTGAAATAACATTTTGAAGTGCCTGAAGGCAAGATAATGAATCTGTAAAAACGATGACGTTTTTGGAATGGTTCTGCTGTATAACATAGGTCAAAGCCGTGAAGATAGATGTGGCATCAGCAGTGAAAACAGAACCATTGTCGGGAATTCTTGAGGAAACAGTCTTTGATCCAATGACTGTGGCACTGGCAACTTGGCCACCATCCTTGGATCCGTCTGTAAAAGTGGCTCTATGGGTGTAATACTTAGAACGCAAATGGTTGAATTCCTGTTGAAACACCAAAGGTTTGTTTCGGATTGTTTTAGTTTGTTGAGGGTAAGAGCCACCTGTGGCTTCACCAGGTTTACATAGAGAGGGTTGAAAACACAATTGTATGCTGCATTGGATTGATTTGAAGGTAATGTAGTGATATACTGCAGTGAAAGTTTAATGCGGCATTGTTCAAGAGGATTTTCGTTAGTCTCAGCATATAGACTGTCTACCAGTGAGGTCCTAATACCCCCAAGACAGCCTAACGCCTTGTGGTGGATACAATCTAGTTCAGAAAAGATACAGTGAAGAATGTACAAACTTATTGACATTTAGCTAAATTTTGTTATGGCCTGCAGAGCCATTTCATTCATCTGTCTAACCTCCATTGTTTTTACTCCGTCCACCACCTAAATCCGGCGGTGAAGCTCATTTTCACTTCCGCCACCAACTTGCCTCAAGTCTACAATAAAGCCACGCAATATCCGCTGGAAGCGCCGTCACTTCCTCTACTACTACACATGAAGCTGTTCGCCTCTGCACAAAATTCTGCTTCTCACCCTCCCACCTCATTTCACTATTCTTCCCACTTTATCATTATTGTTTACTTATCTTATCCTATTTTAACTTGTTTATTCACAATATCAAAGAATTAGCGCGGACGCGAGGTAAAACTAAACTCAGTCAGTCAGTCATATATTTTAATTTCACTATATTGCTTCCATTTGTTTCTTATTTTGCTTTGTTTGCAGTCGGTGCCCCCACCCAGTCAGGCCGTATTCATCTGATAAGACTTTGTGCGCTTCTGTGTAGCAGTTCCAAGGTCGTAAATATACTGGCACAGTGTGGCCTGGCATCGGCGGGACCACACCTCAACATTACAGCTCACTCTTCCTGGATACTCATTACTCGCTGTTACAGTGGGAGCCCAAAGCTCCCACCTGCTGCTTCGAGCGCCGTGTGGATGGAACCGACAATAGCAGCAAGACCGGATGGCATGTTTAAGATGTTTGCGACCTTCCGCCGTGGAAATAAATTTATTTCAGATGTATAGTATTTACAGAGATACACGTTTCAGTCGACTGGTATAGCTATAACAATAAAAGTAACATTAATTATGTATTGTGTTACTATAAATTATTGAAGAAAAAGGATTAGTAAAACAACGGATGCATGTTTTTTTAAACCTGGTTGTTAGAACAATCATTATTAGTTACCGCTGATAAATACAAACGTGACAGCAACATCACAGGTGAGATACTGGCTGGAAGCGACAGCTACCCGTGCTACCGTCTGAAGATATTCGTCTTGGAAATTCTTCAGTCTGTTGACGTACAGAAGCCTATCAGATGAGACCAAGAAAAGCAGGGAAATGCAAAGTTCTCTGACGTCGTCACGAGGGTGAATATCTGTGATGGCCATGGCGATACAGACGAGGTGCGTTGTAAATACAAACCGCTTGTATGCGATGTAAAGCATGTGGTGCTTAAGTCCAGGATCCCGTCCACCAAACGTTTGTAGCGTTACGACTTTCGCAAGCCTTTCGATAAAGTATGGGGTTACGACAGGTCGTAACGTTACGAACGCTTTGTGGATCGGGACCTAGGCAATTTGAGTCGCACAAATCGCTGGCTGAGGTCGCCCGCTGAGGTCGATAAAGTATGGGGTTACGACAGGTCGTAACGTTACGAACGCTTTGTGGATCGGGACCTAGGCAATTTGAGTGGCACAAATCGCTGGCTGAGGTCGCTTTTGTCTCAAACCAAAATGGCGGCTGCAGGAAGTTGAGTTTGACAGCTGACTGGATCAACTTGTAAATAAGCAGCTTACATTGCAACTTCCTCAGTTTGTTCCTCATTAGCACCAACAGTTCTTCCTTAGGGCGAGGCAAATAAGTAGCAGTTAGGAGAAGAGGGTGAGCTTCAAACTGGGTTTGCTTACTCAAAGCGATTGGCTTGGAAGTCCAGGTTGCGACGAAGCTTGAACAGTGATGGGCGTGTACAAACTGGCTCAGTGTTTCCTTTTGGCATCCAAATGTTCTCTGTAATCTGAGTATGTGAAGATGTGGTCCATCTATTTAGTATGAGTCCACGTATTTACTTGGTGCAACCTCCATCAGTAGTTGAAGATACATCTCTATCTTTTCTGTAAACAAAAATGGGATTAGTTTAATAATTGTTTTCTTGAAGATGCACGTAACTATTTCCTTCCGGAATTAACGTGTAGGGTGAAAGCAACTTCCATCTGAAGTTCCCTTTAGAAAGGCTTAACTTTGTCACAAATAATAGCTATGTGAAATTTGGGGATGGGACATTCAGGAAAGAAGTTGGCATCACCTAGGTCAGAAATTGTGCACCTCCTCTTATTTATCTGTGGGTGTATCTAATATTCTGAATCGGATTTTGTGTTGGGGTTGCAAAAATCAAAACATGAGAATATGGCCAAGACGTATAATAAAGTTCAGGCATGTGGATGATCTGTTGTTCAATAATTCCTCCTCCATTCTACTGATTTACCCATCTGAACTAGATATAACGAGAATACCTAGAAACTTAATCTTTGTTTCATACTGAAACTTCTACATAAAGATTCTCAGTGAAATAACGCTGTAAAATAACAATGGTGTTTGACAACGGGCATGACTTAATCTCCCCAGTAGTCAACGTTCTCGTTATCCGAGCTCCATGAAGCAGCCTCAGCAGCCTCGACATTAGTTAATATTGTATTTCCAACGAGAGTTTCTTTAAGGAACCATTTGAATAACGGGCGTTGCATCACCATATGTGTCCAGATATTTGTACATTAATCTGGCTGCTGTTGGTATTTTGGGATGTTTATATGACGGAATGCTTTAAATTGGTTATAAAATCCGAATAACGTGGACACCAATGAATTGTTAATGGAAGTGAACACCTGTTTGATATACATTGTGAAGCAATTCTTAGAATGTCTGATCTTGTCAGCTGTACTGGTGTACTGTTCTATACCTACCAAACCATTTCGGTTTCAGGTTGAAGTGGATGAGTGGGAAATAGACGACAAGGCCACCAACAGCAAATATGGTTGCATACAGTAGCTCAATCTGGGGATTCTCTACAATAGGTGCCACGACCAGGAACAGACACCACAGCATGAAGAAGATGGGGATGAGGATTGGAACCTGAAAGAAGAGTTTGTTGTAGATGTGTCAAGATCGGACATAAGATGAGTGAGTGAGTTGGATTCATACCTCTTTGAACACACTATAACTTTATATCGTTTAAAGAATCGAATTTGGTGTACACGTTCCAAAATAGGACACACGATGTATGAATAAGTGAGTAGGGCTTTACGACGCTTTTAGCAATATTCCAGCAATATCACGGCGGGGGGTACATGAAATGGGCTTCACACATTGTACCCATGTGGGAAATCGAACCTGAGCCTTCGGTGGACGCTTTAACCAATACGGTAACTCCAGCATCACTACATAATGGATGATTGAGTCGTATCACGGCTTGACTGCGAAACGTGTGAGGTTGCTGCTGCTGAAGGTATAGATGCTTTTCATTTTTTAGATATGGATTTGTCGCATACCAAGATACACAAACGTGCTGAACCAGGATTTGAAACTATTATCAGACGAGTGAGTGAGTTTAGTGTTACACCGCTTTTTGCAATATTCCAGCGATATCACGGCGGGGGACACCAGAAATGGGCATCACACATTGTACCCATTTGGGGAATCGAACCCAAGTCTTCGGCGTTACGGGCGAACATTTTACCACTAGGCTACCTCACCGCCCCCATGATCAGAATGGTGATATAAAACAATACCTTTATTCGTTTCGGGTCGTCTTTTATTTTGAACCTCAGCACAAGACAACATAGAGCACAGGTACAGTAAAAGGCCCATTGGGTGAAGCTGAGGAAGTTGATGAGGCTGGTGACGGTTCCCTGTAGCGTCATGAAGGCAGAGATGAGCACCTGTAACCAAACATCAACACCCAGGACCTCAATCGAGAATGGAGGAGTTAAACTACATAATAGCAATGTTAATACCTCATAAATAAGATTTTATGGTAATTTAAATCATGTATGGTAAAACATCAATGTGACTATGACAGATGCATCAGAGTAAGTGAGTGAGTGAGTTAAAATTTAGTCACACCAGCAGTATTTGTGTCACGTCCTTGTGTGGTTAAAAGTAATATTCATATCTATCGACAATTTAAGAACGGAAATGTACCAGGAAGTATTCACAATCATTGTACAGTCGATTTAAAATGTTGCCGTTTCAAAATCAAAAGTTCACAAGCGCAAAAAGATCTTTTAAACTCGTAGAGTAACAGTTCGTTTCATTCCAAGAAAAGGGTTGAAAGTTAAACGAACAAAGATAGCAAGTTTGTTTGCCCTTTTGTTGATGACTTCTTTATTAGCATCAACTGTGTTTCATATAAAATGTAAATTTTATGTTTTGAAAATAACAATATTCGCCTGATCAATGCTTAATCACAACCCGATTATTAACGAAACCCTTACTGGCGATAAGAGACATAAAGACACACCCTAAAAGAAAGTCAGTGAATCTACACAATTAATGTCAATATAGAGCGTGACTGCAATTTGCGGTACACAGCGAGGCGGTGGCAGCAGATAACAGGTCCTGTAAGTCTCGCAAGGCGCTACTCCCGGTTCCCCTTGCGCGCGCCAACTTGCGATATGCGAGACGGGACCGAGCTTACTTCCGGATCCAGATTTCCGGTGACGAGCGTATATTCAAGAACCAGTTCTGGTTCCAAATCGCGCGACCGCCAAATATGACTTTGCACGTTGTTTGTCACCGGGAGTACCGAGGTATCTCAAAGTGCCGTGACCTACTCATGGTCCCAATTGAAAACAGCTTCAGGGATATGGTTCCTTACGTAAACCAAAGACTGTTCCCCCAAACATTTATGACTACCATGCTACCAACACACATGGAGATGTCCGCCTTTAAGTCGAGGAGATGCTTCCATGAATATGAATTGAAAGTGAAAATAATTTCAGTGTAATTGTATTTTTGATTGAACTTTACATGACGTAGTTACTTTTCTCCGTTGGTATATATCATACAGCTGTATGATTGGTGACGTAAAACAACATTTACTCCCACTCACGTGACAAATGATTGATGGCATGGGCGTGTACCTCTTCACGTTGACATAGGACAGGAACTCCCACCAGTTCCCATCACGGGCTGCTGAAAACTGTATTCTAAGAGAAAGCAAGATGACAGGAAGCAGAGATAGATGCTTGATACAGGTCATTTCATTGATAATGGGTATGTCTGTCATTGGCGGAACTATGGTGGTGGTGGATGGTGGGTGCAGTGGTACAAAATGACAGCGATACAAAAATGAAACCAAAATGGTCACAGCGTTCCAATCAAAAACAAATTCACGAATGTTGATTAGAAATCTCACTGTTAACCCTGACGATTTTTTATGATGCTCTGCGAACCAAAATCAAATTGCCTTGAAAGAATAGCAAGTAGGGTACCATTGATTCAGGAAGGACATGTGAGGTTTCGCTAAAACTAGATTGTGTATGTTATGAACCGTTAAGACATGCCTTAGTATGTTGTCACCGACATACAAATTTCTGTAAGCTATAAATACGTCTCCGCATTGCCATTTGCAGACCTTTGTGTACGTTGTATTGCATGTGATGTCTTGGCAAATCAAGCAAACTCTGTTTCCTGATTGGCTGATAATATAATGGTCGGTGATGGTTGCATTATCGTGTGGAACGATGTCACCGACTTGGTCACATGGTGTTGGCGTGCTTACTTACAGGCATTTACTTATAATAATAAGGGCATTTGTAATGCGCTGAATTCGGCACCACGGAGGGGCATGCTCAAAGGGCTACAACCTAATAGTTATTACCCCGGATAACCCAAACTGCTTGTGAGGCCTTAGCAGGTTAATAGTCACATGACTTATCCCATTGGTTACCCATTTTCTGCTGGGTGAACAGAAGCAATTTTGAACAAACTCACTTGCCTAAGTGCCTAAGTAGAGACCACATGTGCCACATGTGCTTCGTCGTGGGGCAGGACTGAAGACCTTGAAACTCTCAGGAGTCAAGCTGCCATACACAGTCACCCACCCATAGGCTCCCAGCGATAAACATTGCGTAGCTTCTATTGTGTTGTGACCTGAATTCTATGCACAGGACCACACGGCATAATATGTATAATATGAGGGTAAGACGTCGTCGTGCTTCGTCAGTCTGTATCTCATAAGTGTTGGTTATGTAGTGGTAGCTGTATGTAGCCTCCGCAAGGCTAGCAAAGGGGAGGTTACTCTAACTGAGGCATCTAAGTAAACACGTGAATGTCGCCAGGCTCGTTCTGTCTTCATTTGACTAGAAAGGACCCCCTCTAACATAACAGGTTATACATAACCCTTATGAGGTACCAAGTCTCTTCATGTACAACTTACCTAGAAGCTGTTCCCATCCCACCATTAGCGCTGCCGTACACAGACATCATGACAGAGATCGGGATAATCCAGGAGGCTGAACCCAGGACCCTGTCTCCCCAGGTCTGGATGAAGAGTTGGATGAAAGCCCGAAGTTACACAGGTATCAGAAACCCCCAATAATTGAAGTAGCAAACCGGTATTCGAATCCAAAATTATTGGATCCTGGCATATCTAAGGGAGGCAACCCGTACAGCATAACCAAACGTAGTAACTAAATCACGAAGAACCGGGATTCGAATTTTAAATCATGGGTTCCTTGCAGCCTGTGGAGCATGAACAAAATTGCCACCTTGTTCGTACAAACAAGGCACTATTGCTCCTCCTTTTCATCATAAGCCAACATCCAAACCTGCCAGACAAACAGCACCAGATTATGATCAATACCAGTATCGATGGATCCCATCATTCAATAAATGTACCAGTGCGACAGCCGATGACTGATACAGCTCCTGACGGGTCATGACAGCAAGGTAGGAGATGTTGGTGAGGATGTAGACAACAGCAACTATCGCTACACCGATGATACTCGACAATGGTCCGTTTCTGAATGTTAAGAACACAGATTGTTCAGGAACATCGGCATGAAAACTACATCCCGTTCAGTCTGTAATATTGATGATTTGAACATATAATATTTTAGTTGAAGGCGTAAACTGGAGAGATCTTCTAATTATTCTTACTGAAGACTGAGACGCTGATATTATACTTGGAATAAAAATTGTATGCGACTCGTTTGTGTGTATAATGAATATATTTCCATTCCCTAAATAGAGTTAGGGTAGAGCAAGACACGAAGGTAATAATATCATTATCACATAGAGTCGTTCTGGAAACATTTCCGGTTAGTTTACGTTTAAGCCATATTTTCAGTCACTATAAGAACTCCATAAATCGCGGAACATTACAATGCGTGAGTTAACCGTCCGATTACCTACATAGTACCAGGTTCTTACCAGATATATGAGACAGATTCCAAAGTGGTGCCTTTTACTATTTGCAGAGTTTTGGTATTTTCATTTAATCTCAATAGGGAGGGATGGACTTCATTTCAGGATCACAACTCGAAAACATTTCAATATCTTTCTACAATACTTGGCAGATATATGGGACAGATCCCAAAGTGGTGTCTTTTATTATTTGCAGGTTTTGGGCATTTATATTTCTTCCTGTTTCCATGGAAACGATTCGGACTTAGTCTCAAAAGTGAGGGGTGGGCTTCAAAACACAACTTCAAAACCTTTCAATATCTTTCTCCAATATTTTTCTATTAAAATTGGCAGATATATCAAACAGTTCTTGAAATGGTGTCTTTTGCTATTTGCATATTTTTGGCATTTTTATTTTTCATGATTCCCATGGAAACGATTTGGACCTAGGCTTAAAAAATAAAGCAACTTCAGATGATTTGCTCTTTCAAATTCGTGAGGGTCTTAAAAAAATCAGGTCGAACTTTAAGGAACTTCAGATGATTTGTTCTTTCAAATTTGTGAGGGCCTGGAGGATTTGTCATCTTCTGATGACTCTTGTTTAAATTACATGCACACTTGCCAATTGGGAACAATCGATCTGAACTGTTTTGACTGTTAAAGGGCATTCATTAGCATGTAGGCAGTGGCACAGATACATTGAGGCACAGATCTTTTCAAAACTAGGTTTTATTTTGCATACTCATCAAATTATGACACAGGGTTTATAGGTTTGATGACAAAATCATTAATTTACAAATGAACATAGTACCTCCGAGGGTTCTTCACCTCCTCTATTAGGAAGTTGACGTTGTTCCTTGAAAGACAAAAAAGTGTAAATCATTTCCATTATATTAAAGTTGGTTTTGATTAGGTATGACATAAGGCAGAACATATCTGCTTAGTAAACTTACTCAATGACATATACTTAGGTGAGTAAAATGACTGAAATACGCACATATTTGAAAGCAGTGGGTAACGGAAAATGAAATACCCACTCAACATTCAAAATACCCACTTCAAAAAAATACAGTGGGTCCAGTACCCACATGAGCTAAATCTTATCTGGAGCTTTGCATACAGCCTCGAAATCAAAATGTGAGCACTCCCTCGAAAAACACCCACTTGTATAGAACAACCTTTGGTCTCATAAACCATTCAGCTTGTCTTCGTAAAACTTCGTTTTAGATAAAGCTTGAACAGGTTGCCTTTTGAGAATACGTCAGACTAACAAGGTATTTTCAAAATATGGTTTCTTAAACATGACAAAGAAGACAAAATTTAAGGATAATACGTTTTTGTTTCCACTGTGAAAGCGATGTTTTGGTATGGGTCCTCAAACTGTTGACACGCAAAGATGGACTGGTTCTGACTCGATTAGTTAGGGACAGACATCATTTAGCTGGAATATTGCTGAGTGCGGCGTTAAACACCGAACAAAGAAGCAAAACTGAATGATCTGAGCAAGGTCCTGGATTATATATGGTTAGTGAATAATGCACAGGAAGAATAATTATCATACATGAAACAGATAAACATGAGCAACTAAAATAACAACAGAAGGTGATATTGTAATTACATGACGAGGAAACCTGTTAAACTGTATTAAGCACACATTGATAGGATGATGGTACGGATCTATACGCTCCAACTGGGTCTGTTTTGTTATTTAACTGTTCAACATTTCATCCTGGACACATTAAAATTATATGAGGTCTTTTTGGACACACACCTGTTGAACCGCGAATAGCTGCAAAATTGCTGATGCAGCATTAAGCCATACTCACTCATTTTTGTCCCTTGATGTGTTCAGATGTTATTTTAAATTATATTTTCAATGCATACAAGTTCAAAAGAGTAGGGTTCGGTTGCAGATTGAGAAATTCAATAATTCGTACGTAACATGGTAATGCATACATATTTCATTCCATTTGGAGTAATCTTCGAACAAGATCTTCAGGAGAAAATGATGTACTTTAGTAATAGAAATCTCCGAAAGGAAACAATTGTATCAATTGGCGGATTATTATATATCATGTACGGGAACTTAAACAGGATCAAACTGGCGAGGGTGTTGTTTTAACTCAGTACATACACATACCAAATCTGAAATGGTCTACCATCAACTTACCATCCTCCATATGCAAACATGACCGAGTAGTACGCCAGAGCGATGTTGGATGCCTTAGTCACAGATCCATCAAACCCAGTTGGTAGCTCAGATACCGTGCCTGAAAGAGAAGACATCCTACATGGGAACATTTTTGTCCATCCAATTAGGTCACAAGAACGCAGCTATGCTCCAACTATTGACTTACTAAAGTACTGTTATATACGGGATGTCTTGCTTAGTTGGTACTGTAAACCAACAGATCGAGCCACTATAAAGCAACACACGCACGCACGCACACGCACGCACACACACACACACACACACACACACTTGTCATAACCGAAAGTCTGAATCACAAATCGCTCATAGTTATGTAAATATGACGCAAAACTGTAATCATATGAGACATGCACATTTATATAAAGTGTCATTAAAACTGCCAGGACACTATTCGAAAAGGAAGGTTAAAACATTGGCATCTTAGTTTGCTTCAATTAAATTCTGTATATAGAATACTGCGATAATCCAACTCACTCCCATTCAGTCTGCCTGTATGTATGACAATATCTGTCCTCTTGCTTACCTTGTCCTATTTTGACCAGTCCTCCGATGATGATCACAACGAGAGCTCCCAATTTGGCTGCAGTGAAGAAGACCTGTATCCTTGCCGACAACTTCACGCTGTAGGAGGTGGTGATGGCCAGAAGAACTAGAATTGATAAAGAAAATAAACACGCCAGAAAGAATTAACGATTTGTGATACATAGAAAACGGACCCCAAAAGTCGAGAAAACGGCCACCGCACTGGAGAGAACAGCATCCGAACCTATAGAGAACAGTCTCTGTGCCTAGAGAAAACTTCCAACACAGTTGCATCAAGATCAAAGCTTATATATTTATCCTAAATGATAGAGATTTACTTCATTGCCGATAAGCTTCTAAAAATTGATTGATTGTTTTGATAGTTTCGATATCCATGGCAGTTTAACCTTTGAAGATTGATTGATTGTTTTGATAGTTACGATGAACAAACCAATTTGAGTGGTTGTAGATCTTACAGGCAAGATTAGTTGATGATAGAGGAAAAAATATAATAAGGTAGTGTATATATTGACGAGCGGATTAGTAGAAGATATAATTACATCAACGGTGTATAAAGAAGTCTGTTTTCACTAATTCCAACTTCTGTTCTTGCTATGAGTATGTTGGGACATTTAGGGATGTGAACAAACAGGTACCCAGAAGGCAGATCCCTACGACCTTCTTCGGCGGTTCAGGGGACCCACACAGCTCCAGGAAGGCGGAGAGATACTCGGCGACCGTCAGACATTGCACGGCTCTTGCCGATGTGTTCACGGCGATTTCAACGGACCATACAAACACAAAGGCAGGGATAGGGCCGAATGTTTTCAGCAACACTGCGTACTCCCCTCCAGATGTCCGTGTGAGGGATGTTAACTCAGTGAAGGTAAGCGAACCTGAAAGGTCACAGAATGGGAAAAGATGAAACAATTTTTGTTCAGTAGAGTCACATTAGATTCTCTACAGCGTAACTGCTTAAAGGGCCATATATGGTTCCATCCCTAACCGAAAGATGTTAAACGCTTGCACTTGTTCCCTGTTCTGCAAAATGCTTGAAAGGGGAAAAAACAATACAAAAGCAAATATGGACCTCGATATACGTTATTCGCCATGAAAACACAAGTCTTGTGTTAAGATAATTATTTACTGAGTTAGTTTTGAGTTCCTACTATCATATTGATATATACCACTGAATAATGTCTTCATCCACATCTATACGTGCGAAACTATTCAGCATATCGAACGTTATACTTACCGAGAAGAGAGAGGAGAGCTCCGCTAGACCACACAACCAGGCACATTCCCACTGAGCCTGTGTTCCTCAAAACTCCTTGGGGAGAGATGAAGATACCAGAACCTACAAAATAGTTACACTTTACACGTCTCCATTGGTCAGATACATAATCGTAGGAATCTTCATGTACCTTACACCCGTGAAGGTCCGGGTTAGAATGTACCTTAATTAAGTAACCCATGCTTGTCGTAAGAGGTGACTAACGGGATCGGGTGGTCATGATCAGGCTCGCTGGCTTGGTTGACACATGTCACCGGTTCCAAATTGCGCAGATCGATGCTCATGCTGTTGATCACTGGATTGTCTGGTCCAGACTCGATTATTTACAGCCCACCGCCATATAGCTGGAATATTGCTGAGTGCGGCGTAAAACTAAACTCACTCATGTACTTTACAACAACTCGTTTCACACTTCTTTACTTCTCTTTCTTTCCACTTCCTTTCTCCTTTCCTACTCTTTCCAACCAACTGTCCTTCCCCCTTTGCGTTCTGACCCCTTCTAATTTCCCTTACCTTCCCTTTCCCACTCACCCTCTTCTCTTCTCTAACAATGACATACCCTACATGACAATTACTACTTCCCTTCCCTCTACAAACACCTGTGAACATCCGGGTTAGAATTGGTCTTCAACAACCCACGTTTGTCGTAAGTGGCGACTAAACGGATCAGGAGGTCAGGCTTGCTCATGCTGTTGATCACTGGATTGTCTGTTCCAGACAAGATACTTCACAGACCGCCGCCACATAGCTGGAGTATTGCTGAGTGCGACGTTAAACAACAAACAAACTATCATCAAGTACTGGTCATGTATGAGATTGGAATCAGCTAGAACCTTGTCATTAACCTTTCCATTAATGATACGTCTTCCACCCAACGTACCAATGATTGATCCCACCACAAAGGCTACACCACTTAAAAGACCAATCTCTTTCTTCAGGGTTACTTTCGATGTGTCAATTTGAACTTGATCGTCAGCCTTCTCTGGAGAGTCCTCAGTTGGCCGTTGACGCACTTCCATATCTGATAGTGATTCCTTGTCCGGGGTTGTTGAATCTATAAACAGTGTTTTTCACTTATTGATACATTTCAGTTTTGCATAACTGCTTAAATATTATTAACTTATAACACTTTGGTGGACAGAATGAACAGACCATTGCGCTATCGGGAGTACACGATACCTAAGTCCACAGACTGTGGATTCTTGCATTACTAGAGGGCTCATCACTGCACAGAGGTATGCTGTCTCAGAAAATTTGGCCACACGTTACACCCTACGCCTATAGTTATTTCAAAAGGACAGAATTGATTTCTTTGGAGACAACTGACTTCACAGTAATAACCTGATGCTGCCCATGTGCCTCGGCTGGCGGCTTTCGTTCCATTTTAGTTTTCATTATGAAGATCAAACGTTCGCCTGAAAGCTACTAACTAATACGAAAAAGGGGGTTAACTATTCATTGCTGCTTTATAAATCTGTGAATTCCTGCCATTCAAGCCTGACTGCCCAAAACTATCCCCATAATGTTGCGAATAACCATCAGCTGATCCATTTTCTGGTGGTCAAGATATTTTAAGGCTGGGCGGGACAACTTAGGAATGGCCAGCCAGTCCTAACTTGACACCCAGAAGGAAGCATGCTACAAAAACATTTTTTATATCATTGGAAAGATCTCAAGAAGATGAATCCAAAAATATAAGTGTGTTCATGTTTTCATAAGCTCACAAATTGCCTCTGAAAACGCATTTCTGCAGAAATTTCTGGCAGAATTTTTTTTTCTGCAGAAATTTCTGGCAGAATTTTTTTTCTGCAGAAATTTCTGGCAGAAAAGATTTATAATATGGTCTATGTGCCTCTGTTGCTTCTATAATCACCTTAACTGGACAGTGGAACACTGAATTATGGCAGATGCATAATCCTTGAAACCATATTAAGCAGAGCCTTCATTATTTGTACACCTGCACACATTAAAATTGTCTAAATGAATTGCTCTTTGTCAGATTTTACTTTGAAATTATCTAATTTGCAGTGTGCAAGTAAATGTGACTTTTAAAAATGTAACAGCCTTTTAATGAGGCCAGCCAAATATAAGAATACTTGGTGAAATCCAACCATTCAATCAAGATGAGATATACAGTATAAACCTGATAAGTAAAATTTCAAGGGACTCGCCAAAATTGTTTACTTATCAGGTATTTTACTTATCCAACTTGACATATATGTATTCAGCAGAACAACAGACAACACTTGTAAGTAATATGACATGTTTTATTCCCTAACATTTCATTGTGTAAAGTAATACATTTATAATACAAAGTAATAAAAATCAAACATAACGAAAAAAATATTTTAGCCTAACAGTCTAACTTTTTACTCCACAAAAGCTGTCATGAGGGATTGTCTCTTTGTGAAACATTTCTTCATTTCCTTCTCTGTAACATAGTTGGCCACCATGTTGTAGCCTCTCATTACACCGTGTCCGTCGTCTTGCGATATCACATAACGCCTGACGACTTCTAGGGCTTCTGTTGTGGCATCAAGAGTAGGTGGTAGAGGAGGGGGCATATCGTCTTCATCTTCGTCGTCACTGAGAAGCTGGGTCCTGGTCCTGGAATCAATAATGTTCTGGACGATGTCTTGCTCACTGGCAGGGCAGCTGGTTACTAAGTCATCATCCACACTGGCATACTGCGCAAGAGTGATGTTGTTAACAAGTAGGGTGGCAAGGGGCACATCATCCTCAGGGTCGCTGTCATCATCGTCTTGGGTGTTGGTCTGGTCTGAGATCTTGAAGCCTGCATGCAAGTAGCACTTGTTGATTGTCTGGGGTTGGACGCAGTCCCAAGCCTGTCGTAAATGTTGCATTGCATCAATGACTGTTATGCTTACAGACTCCTTCTTGTCAATGGCCTTGATCATCAGCTGCTTTCTGTAGTGGACCTTTAGGTTGTTGATGACGCCTTGGTCCATCGGCTTAGTCTTGGATGTTGTGTTCGGAGGCAAAAACACAAGTCTGATGGCCTTCAGATTGTCTACATAAGGATGGGCTGGACAGTTGTCAACAATAAGCACAATTCGTCGCCGCTTACGGTGCATTTTTTCGTCCAACTTAACTAGCCAATCTTGAAAAATGCTTGATGTCATCCAAGCCTTTTTATTTGCAGTGTACTCTGTGGGAAGAGACTTAACATTCTTGAAACAGCGAGGATTCATTGCTTTGCCTATTACAAGAAGTGGAAGTTTTTCTGTGCTTGTCATTTTGGCTGCGACCATGCATGTCAACCTTTCTTTGCTACGCTTTCCACCGTGACAATGAGTACCTTTAAAGTCCAAAGTTTTGTCAGGCAACAATTTATAGAAGATCCCAGTCTCATCTGCATTAAAAATGTCATTGTCATCATATTCTGTACTATCATAGAAAGCAGATTTAACATCAGACAGTGGGAAAATAACACAAACAAGGTCATATAACATAACTGCATGTATTGTTTCATAAATGCCATAGACCACATTACAGTTACACATGCTGTACATATACAAATATATATATATATTCCAAACACAAAAACATACACTTTGGTTATTTGCTTTTCTTTATGGCAGTCTGGTTGTAACAAAAGCAAATTTTTTTAAAACTTTGACAAACTATAACAAGAATAACATGTAAATAATGAAACTAATATATCGTAGGTGAGGGACATACATAAGAACTACAAAGATTTCTTGTGCAGATGTCGGTATCATTGTGACATCTTCCAAATACGTTTCAACCAACGCAAATTTCTCAGTTATTTCATCATTATTTTAGATCTGAATATCCAAAGAAAAGATTATAGCAAATGTTTAATGTCATCGAAAGTAAAATGTATGAAAGTAGAATTGTATCATGTGACAAGTTTGACAATACTGTGTTACAAGAGAGACCTATGCGATATTTATATCTTAACACTAAATAACTTTTTGTGATAATTAGTTTTTTAGAGTTGCATTCAAACCTTTACATCAATCACATATTCAATTTATACCTCAATTATAACACAATATGATCAATAAGTACATCAAAACATGATAATTCCAAGAAAAGAAGGAACTTTCTAACCATGACAGGGGACCATTATGTTTTTTACCTATTGTTCCCTGGACAGGGATATTTACAAGGAGAATAATCAATATCAGACTTAACAACAGTTCCAACAAAAAACATCAGAAGATGACAAATCCCCACCCCACCCCCGGCCCCCACATATTTGAAAGAACAAATCATCTGGCAGTTACTTAAAGTCCAACTTGAATTTGTTTTAGACTACGTCAAAATCGCTTCCATGGAAATCATGAAAAACATAAGTGCCAAAGATTTGCAAATAGCAAAAGGCACCACTTCAAGATCTGTTTGATATGTCTGCCAAGTCTTGTAGAAAGAAAATGACAGGTTTTCAAGTTGAAACCCTCCCCTCCCTTATGAAACTAAGTCTGAATCGTTTCCATGGAAACCAGGAAAATTTTAAATGCCAAAAATCTGCAAATAGCTAAATGCACCTCTTTGTGATATGTCTCATATATCTGCTAAGTTCTGCTGAAAGATATTGAATGGTTTTCGACTTGTGTGGAAACGAAACCCACCCCTCCATTTGAGACCAAAGTCCAAATCATTTCCAAAATCTACTTCAATTTAACTTGTGCAAACCCTTGACAGTGAGGCAAAAGCAAATTTAGCTTGTGATTATACAAAGAAAAATGTTCAGTGCATATATATATATATATACATCGCATATACATATTTACATCAGTGTTACAATCAGGCCACCATCTCAGAGTTCCGCTGAGGCTTGTCTTCTGTGCTTTGTAAGTGATACCTGAAAATGAAATGATAATAAGAATTGACATACAAAGACATGTGAAAAACAGTATCCGCTGCTCCGGGCGGACAGCTCTCCGAGCCGACCAGTCCTTGTTGTACCCATTAATGCCGAGCGCCAGGCGGGGACCCACTACACCACGGAGGCGGTCGCTTAAATCGGTATTCATCTTGATGTCTGGATGTTTTATACATTAAATGCTCTCTAACGCTGTATAACAGATGACAATATCATTTTTTATTAACAATTGGAACTCAATGAAAATACCTTTGATTGCTTCTGCATTTTTTCATTGCTTCGCTCTATTGCCTCTTGTACATTTCTTGGGAGGCTGTTCTCTTCCCTTGGGGCAGGCATGAAGGGCTTGAAGTCGGACAGCTTGATGGCCGGTGTGTGAATGCCCCCATCTGTCTAATGTAGGACACCCACCACAAGCCTTCCTCTTCAGACAGCCTGGTAGATGACACCCATTTGGCCAAGTCTCTCCCCATGGCTTTACAGGTGTCATCTACATTTTTCTTGTCCAGAGTGACAGGTGTGAGTGTTGACAGGTCAACCTTGAAATCTAATGACACCTTTCTGTAGGTTTCACTTTTCAGTGGCCAGTCTTTATAAAGCATGGAGACTGAGGACCCCTCCATTCTGAACACAAACACATGTGCCTCCTTGTGTCCTTTAGGTGAATCACAGTTGATAAACAACTGCCTCATGTCCCAAACACCATCCAGTACAGAAGCAGTGGGCTTTGGGTCGTTACTGCTGGCAAGGACTTGCAGGAGAGCATCACGTGTTGCAGCAGGTTTCTGTCTTAGCTCCCTTGCAAACACGCTGAACAGCTGGTCCACATCTTCTTGAGTGTGGCCCACCATGAGAAATGAAAGTTTCATCTGGAAAAGAGTATCACTATTAAATTACACATTCAATTATTGGATTATTTGAATATCCTGAGATTCTAATAAAGAATGTTAAAGATCCTCTTAATGACCTCTATTGCATGCATTCCCACACTGTATATGTAAATATGTTGCAAAAAGAACACATACCTTTTTGAAGATTTTCAATTTTGACTAACAATGCCAAAAAATACAGTACAGTTTTGTTCTTGTTTTCTTTTGGTGAATTGTCGGCTTGTAAATACAGCGTTTCTGGTAGATGCCCATGGTT